GAGACTTTTTTTTTGTGGACCAAAATGCATTTAAGTCTCATGTAATGGTCATTTTTGTCATTCGCCCTTATAAAATATTGACGATGCTAAGGTAATTAAAATAGGCAACTTGCCAAAATTATTTGAAGTTAGAGATAGACACTGTAAATTAATAAAAAAAAATGCAAATATTGCTAGAGAAAAAGTTTGAAATATTGAAAAAGATAAAAATTTGATACAATAACTCAATATCTAGCTAACTGTAATTGATCTAAGACATTTCATTCGCATCAAATACAAGAATAAATATAAACATTTCCAACATATACTTAAACTATGTAAAATAATATAATAATAGTTATTCAAATTGTTGAACTATAAATATATTGTAAATATCATGTAATACAATAATGTATATCTAAAGAGTACAAAACATTATTTCTGGCCCCCAATTTTTTTCTAAAATCACGAGCTTGAGGCTATCATCTCTCAGGTCTATAGTTAAAACGGGCCATGATGCCCCCAAACTCTCATAATTAGTTTGATGCATATTTTATAGGGTTAATAAGATATAACCCCCTCATTAGAAAAAATATTAGGACTAACCACCTTACAATATTTTTAATGGGTCAAACCCCCTCAGAAATGTCAATTACTGAACTACCCCTATAATTTGTAATAGCAAAGACCCCCCACCGTTTTCCCCAAATACTGCATATCTTCAACCATATTCTTCAATATAATTTCTCCTCCATTTCCGTTGGTGTGCTATATTTATGCCGAGAAATTCTCCCAAAAAACAAACTGCAATATATATCGGATATTTTCCCCTTTCAAACATTGCCCTAGTTTGCTACATCTTCAGCGAAAAATAAAAACCAGAATACCATTATATTGTGCAATTTGTTCAGCAACACAGGTTGACAAAACAATGGTGAAGAACGGCAAGAAGAAGACAGGTAGTTTGCTATATACCCATTTTTACCACATAATTTCTGTTTTTAACACCTTCTTCAGCGACTCCGAAGGACAAAATCGAGGTCTCCTACAGAAACGGTATACAGCGGTACGCGACGACCATATGCGACGCTTCGGATGTCTTCCATGGTTGATTACTCAAAAATGGAGTTTGTATACACGATTGTTTTTTAGATCTACAGATCTATGGTCGCACTATTTGTTGACTCATAAATATTTGTTTTCCTATGAAATTTGTTTTATCAGAGTCCAAAACAAAGAAAAGATCAGTATAAAAATCGGTAGTTCACTATATTTTCCCCGAAGTCAACTATAAAAATCGGTAGTTCACTCAGAGTCAACTATAAAAAACGGTAGTTCACTAGATTTTTCCCAAAGTCAACTATAAAAATTAGATAGTCAACTATAATTTTTACGATGTCAACTATATAAAATGGTAGTTCACTATATTTTTCCCGAAGTCAACTATAAAAATTAGATAGTCCATTATAATTTTTACGATGTCAACTATAAAAAATGGTAGTTAACTATATTTTTGCCAGAGTCAACTACAAAAATTAGATAGTCAACTATAATTGTTCAAATGTCAACTATAAAAAAATTGGTAGTCAACTATAATTTTTCCATTAATTTATCATATTATTTTTCAATTTAAGATACTATGATGTTATAAAATTGAATACTCATGATAAAGATCCCATCTTCATGAAAACATAAATTTCATAGAGTAGAAAATAAATTGATTTCAAGGACCAAAAAATGAGATATAGAAGAAAAGGTACAGTAGTGAGAAGAAATAGTGGAAAAAAATGAAACAGAAACAGACGAGAAAAGAGAAATTGAGGGAAGAAAAAGAAGAGAGAGAGAAGAGAGAGGGAGAAAAAGAAAAAAGAAAAAGATACGGGAAAAAGAGAAAATTGGGGAGGAGAGAGAAGATAAGAGAGTGGAGAGAGAAAAATAAGAAGAAAGAGAGAGAGAGAGAGAGAAGAGAGAGAGGGAGAAAAAAAAAGAAAAAAAAAGATACGGAAAGAAAGGAAATTGGGGAGGAGAGAGAAGAGAGAGAAGGGAAGGAAGAGAGAGAAGATAGGAGAGAGGAGAGAGTTTAAAATAAGAATAATAAAAGAACACGTTAAAAAATTGAGGAAAATAAGGAAGAGAGAGAAATTAATGGAGATATAAAATGACGGATATGAGAGAAATAAGGAGAAGAGAGAGAAAGTTGGAGAAAAATATAGACAAAAAAGGGCATAATGGCATTAACATAAGCTTAGGGGGGTCACACAATTCAGAAAATATTAAATGAATTTGTCTACAAATGGTGAATTATAAATTGGGCCTGTACTATATTATTTTACCTAATGAGGGGGTTATCCCTCATTTTCCCTATTTTATAATCTCGCCCAATAACATCGAAAAGTCCATGATAGACCAAATCTTTACATATAAAAGAAATTAAAGTTATGGCGAACCTCATGACATATTCGTAATTTTTTTAGGGCGAATGGCAAATAGGCTCATTACATGGGACTTAAATGCACATTGGTTCACAAAAAAAAACAGTCTTTCAAATAAACTCATTCTCATGCCTTTAATCTAAAATACCTCCATAATATAATTCTTATCAATTCCATCCATTATGGTCTAACTTTCTTAATATTGCCCATTGACCCCGGATTTAAACAAATATATCACATTAACCCCCAAAATAATAATTTTTTGAAAAAATATTTTTTTTTTCTAATTTTTTTTTCTGACCAAATTTCGACGTTGACTTTTTTTTCTGAATTTTTTTTCCGGCCGGTCAACCACTGTTGACCGCCGGTCTCCGGCGTTGACTTTTTTTTTCGATATTTTTTTCTTAAAAAAAATATTTTAATTAATATTACTGTCTTTGCTACTAAATTACTGTCTCAGACAATAATATTATGAATATTATTTTCCAGAACAGTAATATTATTGTCTGACATAGTTAAATTACTGTTGGAGACAGTAATTTAGCAGCCAATACAGTAATATTAATTAAAATAATCTTTTTTAAGAAAAAAGAAATTCAAAAAAAAAAAAAGTCAATTAACAGTCAAATTACTGTCTCCGACAGTTAAATAACTGCTGGAGACAGTAATTTAGCAGCCAAGACAGTAATATTAATTAAAAATACTTTTTTTAAGAAATAAAAAAGTCAATTAACAGTTAAATTACTGTCTCCGACAGTTAAATAACTGCTGGAAACAGTAATTTAGCAACGAATACAGTAATATTAATTAAAAATTAAAAAAAAAAAAGTCAATTAACAATTAAATTATCGTCTCTGACAGTTAAATAACTGCCGGAGACAGCAATTTAGCAGCCAAGACAATAATATTAATTAAAATATTTTTGAAGAAAAAAAAAATCAATTAACAGTTAAATTACTGTCTCCGATAGTTAAATAACTGTTGGAGACAGTAATTTAGTAGCCAATACAGTAATATTAATTAAAATATTTGTTTTAAGAAAAAACAAAATTACAAAAAAAAAAAAAAAAAAGTCAACGCCGGAGATCCGTCGGTCAGCAACGGTTGACCTACCGGAAAAAAAAAAGTTTGCAAAAAAAAAAAAAAAATTCTACGCCGAAGACCGGTGGTGGCGGGTTAAAATTGAAATTAGGGTTAAAATTGTTTAATTAATGAAATTGGGCTAAATTGGGGTGTAAATCATGAAATTGAAGTTGAATTGAGTTTAATGAATTTGGGGTAATTTTGGTATATATAAAAGGATTTTCCTTATTTGCAAATAAGTTTAAATGGACTGAATTTATTTGATAGACAAAAAAGTTGGATGTCCTCTTTTAATTAAGTGCCCTTGTCATTTGCCAATTACCCATTTTTTTACCTCTACTGTTTTGTTTTTTTCTTTATTAATGACATCTTTGTAATTATTATTCTCTTTTTCTGTTTATTTTATTTTCTCTACCAATTTTTTTTATTTTTTTTATTTTTCTTATCTCAATGGAACTATTTTCCGTCTTTTTGTTAATGACATCTTTGTAATAACTATGTTTTTTTTTTTTATATTATTATTATTATTATCATTTTCTGTTTTATTTATTACTTCATTTATTTAACAATCAATATCATATTTAGACAATAAAGTTTATATATTTTTTTAACGAGTGGATTTGTATGTTAATGTTGTTATTGTAATTGAAGTATCACCTACAACTTATATTATAATAATGTAATATATTTTTTATTTAATCATTTTTTTTTTCACTTTTGAAATGCTATTTCGTGCATCGCAAAAGAAAAATACTAGTACGCAATAATAAAAGTATGGGTGATTTAACAAATGTTGGGGGAGCCATGTCACCCCCTAACTCTACGTTGTCTCCACCACTAGCTAAAAATAATAGTCCGTTAGAACTCTATCGGAATAACGTATCCAATGTAATACCCATTAGAGTTTCTAACTATGTTTCAGGGGATGAGTGTAATTATCAATACCACAAGAACCTTAAAATTATTTAAGCTTACATCAGATGTGTGTGTGTAATTTACCCTAGAATCTATTTAGTAAATAGTTCATTGTACTAGAAGAACACAAATAAACAAGAATATGGTTAAAAAAAAAAAAAAAAAAAGAAAGAAAAAAGAAGCAGTATTGACAAAAAAACAAGTTTTGTTTGTTGGGGAAGTAATATAATTTAGTAATATGTAGATGACAAAAGAACCCATCCCTACAACCTCATTGGTGGTCCTCCTCCATTAATGGCATTTGCTAGCCCCAATTCTTCTTATCCTGCACCCTCACTTATTCTTCTCTCCATCTCTCCTTATCCTGCAAGAAACACACCATTCTCTCTTCTTCCCTTTCTCCCCCCCACTCTCCCAATTCATATTCTTCCCATACCAACACTACTCTCTAACATTATATTGTATCTAATCTAATCATATCAACAAACTACGTACTAAAACTACACATACATACACACATATATATATAGATACACATGTCGGGCACAAGTACAGGTACAGGTTGGTCAGTGGGAGAGGGGGTGGGGGTGGGGGTGGGGGTGGGGTGGAGCAGAGAAGAAGAGAAAGCGTTTGAAAACGCAATCGCAATGCATTGGAGTAGCGACGAAGAGTGGAGGGAGCAAACATGGATAAAGATAGGATGTCTTGTTCCAAGTAAAAGCATACATGAATTGAAGCACCACTATCAGCTTCTAGTGGAAGATGTTGCTGCTATTGAAGCTGGAAATGTACCTTTGCCCAATTACAACAACAACAACATGATGCAACAACCCCCTTCTTCTTTGTCCACTACTTCTTACAAAGACCATAATTTTCATGATAAAGATAATAGTAGTAATAATAATAATATTAATAAGCCTTTCACCGCTAATTCTAACTTCTCATCGGGGGCGGCCGGTTCTCATGAATCTAGTAAAGGAGGCGGAGGCGGCAGAGGTGGAGGAGGTTGCTCTAGGTCCGATCAAGAGCGTCGGAAAGGGATTCCTTGGACCGAAGAGGAGCACAGGTAATTTTTGTCTATAGGCTTTTCGACAAATTTAGTATACTCATTTACAACTCTAAAAATCGTAAAACTGTTTCATAAAATAAATTCGAGATGGCTATAACTAAATCTACTTGATACTTGATTTTACGTATTCATACGTAGCTGAGTTACTCCCTCTATTTGGAATTAACTATCAGCTTTTTAAAAAAAAATTAATAATTAAAGACTTTCAAATTTCAATGACGCATTAATTATTTTTTCTCACAATTTTTCATCACTACTAAGTTCTTTCAAACATTAGTGGAGAGACATTTTTTGGTGTTATCAAAAAACATAGGTTAGTGATTGTGAGTTAAGTGTGTATTAAGTTCTTATTACTAAAAGTTTTGGGTGTTTGCAAAACTTTATCAAAAAGCACGAGTTAATGACTGTGAGTTAAGTGGGCATTAAGTTCTTATTACAAAAAAATTTGGTTGTTTGTAAACAGGAAAATCAACTTAAATAGAAAAGATAGGTCTAGGAGGTACTTTTAAAAAAATAACTTAAAACAACTTAGTCTCAGAGAACCAAACGCAAAAGCTGGTTTTGCAAACACGTAAAACAAGATTATGAGCAAATAAGAGCTTATAAATTGTTTCTTAAAACTTGTGCAAACTCCACTGTGGATAGAGAATTAGTGGTAATGGTATTCTAGTCTTATTATGTATTATTTCCTAAAACGGTTTTATATTTACCCAATATTTAATAACAATGTTAGAAACAAATGTTGTAGTAACTAACCAAGTACATACCTAACTTGTCATCACAAAAAAAAAAAAAAAGAAAAAAGAAAAAAAGTACATACATATGTCTGCATGTGGATAAAAGGAGTGTATTTTGATTGGGTGCAGGTTATTTTTGCTTGGTCTAGACAAGTTTGGGAAAGGGGATTGGAGGAGCATTTCAAGAAACTTTGTAATATCAAGGACACCCACACAAGTTGCAAGCCATGCCCAAAAATACTTCATTCGTTTGAACTCAATCAACAGAGACAGAAGGAGGTCCAGCATCCATGACATCACCACCATCAACGGTGACGTCGTCCCATCACCGTCGACACATCACCACCATCATCTGCCGCCCCCACCTATAACCGGACAACAATACCTCCACCACCATCCACCGCCAAACTCCGCCGCTCCTCCTCCACCCCTTTTAAAGCAGCAACATCATCAGAGAGTAAACATGCACCACCATCATCATGCATTAGGCATGTACGGTGGCGGCGGTGGTGCACCACCACCTATGGGGCATCCGGTTAATGTGCCACCTGGCCGCCACATTGCATCTGCCGTGGGTACTCCGGTAATGATATCTCCCGGAAATAGTCATCACTATCAACATCATCATCCTCCTCCTTATGTTCCTCCTCCGCTTGCCGCCCAAATGCCGCCACCGCCGCCACCTCCCATGAACTAATATAACTTAGAATAATGAGTTGAAAGTTGTCTAGTTTTTGCACCCTAATTGCTTATTAAAGCAAAAGGCTCCAGTGCTAAAATTGTTTTTCACATTCTTTCTTTCTTTCTATCTGTACATAACAGAATCTTTACAAATTAAGATACACCAACCAAAACCGCAATTTATACAGATTCAGTCGATTCCCTCTTTCGGTTCGGTACTAGGCGTAACAATATCCAATTTTATAATGGATGAAATAACCTACCCTTCACTAACACAATCTAACAAGTTTCAACTAGCATCCATCTTTCTAAGCATAAATAACAAATAACAATTTACAAAAATAAAAACAAACCCTAAGAAAATATTTCACTTACAAGTTAGATGATCTTTTTCTATAAATACTTCAAGATAGTTTCTACAATTTACACCTGCATTGTAGCTAAATGCATTGGAGGATTTTCGTATGGTATTTTTAACTCCACGAAAAACCATCGAGTCATTCGCATGAGTAATTCAAGTAGCTACTTAAAATCCAGCAGAGCTTAACACAAGTAAACAAAGAGCTATCTAGAAAATAAAGAGAAATATACGTCAATATTCTTAATGATGGTTAAAAATTGCCGTAGGGCAACAGCCGCCTTACTTGGAACCATCAGTAAATATAAAAAGAATTACAGAAAGAAAAAAAACTAAGAAACTCTCGCAGATCCAAAGAAAATAAAAGAAAAGAAAATCGTAGCAATAACACATATAATAAACTCTCTGGTCTAAATAAATAAGACTCCACTTGCAAAATGCAGTCAACAAAAATTAACAGTCGTATGAATGATGATGATGACGATGACAAGTACTTGAAAGTATGATTTCAATAATTTATATGCCCATCTGCAGAACGGAAACCATTCGATAAATTATTGCCGGTGAGATTTGTGAGCGACCGAATTCACAATACTTTTAAACTGCAGGTTTCTTGCTCCTGAAGCCATCTTTGAGTGAGGCAAACTTCTTCTTGCACTGAGTAACCGATTTTCCAAAAACCGCTGCACCGATACGCTCCCATCTTTGGTTAGTGTCTTTGGGGAATGTTTTAAGAGCTTGGATCAACGATTTCTCCTGCGCCTCTGTCCAGGGGTCTTCATCAGCACGAGTGGACGACGAAATCCCAACGCCAGCTGGCGCCTCTGGGTTCTTGCCCTTCTCAGCTTCTTGATTGGCCGGCTCCTGCAAATCTTCGTTTTTCTCAGTCACAGTGTTGCTCCTAAAGCTCTCCTTCATCAGCGTGAGTTTCTTCTTACACTGGGCCACCGATTTCCCTGGAACTGCAGTTGCAACTCGTTCCCATCGCTGGTTAGTTTCCTTCGGGAAGGTTTTCAGAGCTTGGACTAAAGCTCTCTCTTGTGCTGCGGACCAAGAATCTTGGTCCGAACTTGAACTGCTGTTGCTATTAGCAGCAGCAGCGACATCATCGGGCTTGATGCTGTCACCACTTTGACACGACGACTCGGGCAGATTGCTGTTGTCGGAAGCAAGGGGCTCGGACGCAGGAACGTTGCCATTCGATAAGCCCTCAACATCGTCTCTAGTTGTAAGAGGAGATGCAATTGTTACTGTTGGCTTCCTTTTCTCGAGGAAGGAGTCAAAAGCCTTAGCAGAATCAGGCTTCTGCAGAAGAACAGTTTTCGTTGCCTTGAGAATCTCTTCCACCGACCTTGCAGTACCAATATATTCAGAAATCACTTCCCACCTTCGGGAAGTTCCTTTAGGAAATTTCACCATTCCCTTCCTTAAGAGATCAATCTCTTCTTTAGCCCAAGGTTTTTCCTTCTTCTCGCTGCTGCTGTACGGAACTTGTCCATTCATCATAGCAACAGAACCATTCGGCTTCGAGTTCTTCTCGTCCACTTTTTCATCCTTCAGTTTATGATCGGAGTCGAGTGCCTCGCTGAGGAGTTTGGCCATATCCAGCACTTCCTTACCTTCCATCCGATCACACAAGCTGCTAAGCTGCTCTTTATCAAGTGACGAGCAAAGAGTTTCGACATTATCGTCAACAATACCAAGCAAACGCTTGGACGAAACTGGTGCTGCAAGTGTTCGAAGACGGGTTCTTTCTTTGCGCAGTAGCTTTTTTTCTTTCTCCCTCAACTTTTTCTGAATCGAAGCAGCCTCAGCAGCTTTTTTGTCCTCTTCCTCTTTTCGCTTCCTTTCCTCCTCAATGATTCTAGCAGCTTCTTCCTCCTGCATCCTCTTGGCCATAACCTTCGCCTCCTTCTTCCTCAACTTCTCAGCTTTCTCTTCCTCTTTTCTCCTCAAAACTCTCGGGTCCCGTTTATACGCATTGTCAACAAGAGTTCGTATGCGAGCACATTCTTCCTTCCTCGCCTTCTCCGAGAGTTTGGCATTTTGCCTCTCCATCCATCTCTTGTGATCGCGCGACTCAGCTTGCTCTACGTCAAACTCATCTGAATGAGGAAATTCCCTCCAGCTCTTGAAGCTGTACCAGAAGTTGTAAAAGCTATCAACTTCTCTTATCGAAGTCTTGTCATCACCCAAAGTCGGGACAGGCTGGCCCACAGACCAACGCCCATTCCTCATGAACGCAGGCCCGAAAACCTTGAAGAAATCCTGCGGCGCACATTCATTCGGAATCTCGTCGTCAAACTCATCCGTTGAGTCGTAGATTCTCCTCCTCACGGGGTCAATCAACACCTCGTAAGCTTCTTGAATGGCTTTGAAATGGCTCTCGATATCCTCCTTCTTCGCCTGCTTCGCAGCCTCGGTTTCCTGATTAAGCAACTGGGCAGCTTGCTTGTCGGGGTGATGTTTCAGAGCAGCCTCACGGTAACTCTTTCTGATCTGATCCTCAGTGGCAAGGTACCGTAAATTACTCAACCCCAAAAGTGCATAATGATCTTGCTGCAGTTTACCATCACCGCCAGGTTTCTTCTTCCCTTTACTACTGTAAGAATCTGATGACTCAAGATACACACTTTCCTTCTCTTTCGGCACTTTTTTCTCGTCATTATCACTTTCAGGCTTGGCAGAGTAGCCCGTTAACTTAAGAGCAGCTGCGTGAAAAGAATGCCCAGCCGGCTCCCAACCCAACGCCTTCACCGGAAGACTATTAGAAGATATGTATATTGGTTGTCCATCAACAATTTCTTTTGAGTATGTAAGCAGAAGCATACTTTTACGAGCACCCACAGCCATCACTGTCAATAAATAATTAATTAAAAAAAAAAAAAAACAAATCTTCAATTACCCACCAATTAATATATTTTCACAACAATAAATCAGCTGAAACTCAGAGAAAGAGAGGGGGGAGAAACCATGAACAAGAAAAAAATAGAACCTTTGAATTAAAATAAGATATCTGAGCAGCGAATTCACATAACAAAGTATAATAATAAGTCCAAAGCAAGAATATGAACTTCGTTTCTTAATTTCAACAACAGAAAAAAAAAAAAAAAAAAAAAAAACAGGTAAGAATCTGTAATAAGAAAAAGGTAAAAAGAAGAACATACATTCGGTGATTGAGAATCTGGAAGCAATGCGTGGAGTATGAAGTAATCGAGATTCCGATGAAGATGGCGAGTGGGGTACGGTTCGGTTGGGGATTGGGAGCAGCTAGGGTTTCTTTATTGCTATGCGGAAGAGAGGCAGAGCAAACAGGAGAGAAGGCGTCTGGCGTGTTAAGCCAAACAGATCCTTATATATAAGAAGACTCGGTTGGGTTTTTACTGGGCCGATCCAATTTGGGCCTCAGGTATACAAATAGCTGTTGAATTATATTTTAAATTTAAATTAAATATTAAAATCAATAAAAATCATAAGAGTCCGACTTTTATTATATTATTAATTTATTACGGCTTCATTCTTTTTTTTTTTTTTTTTTTTTTTTGAGTAAGGCTTCATTCATTACCAATACAGAAAAAAAAATTAAAAAAAAAAGATTAAAAAAAAAGGAGGAAAAATTAGATTATTATTCAAACTATAACAAAATTTCATCTATTATAATATTTGAAATGCATCTGAATTGAATAATTGTGTTCTTGTAAACTAAATTTGTTTTCCTAGTATGTAATTATTTATTTCAACCAATACTTCATATTAACTAAATTAATTTGCCAATCTTAAATAATAACAAAACAAAGATGAACTAATTTGAATACTTATTTAAATTAAATTATTACCATGTTCTTGTCATCCCTTGTCGAATTACTATCAATAAATAAAAGAATATTTATATATGTTGAGTTTTATATATAAAGAGAAATTAATAGTTTACAAACTAAATTACAAACTAATCACATTTATTAAAATTGATTCTAATTTCGGAGTGTGTCAAAAATATTGTAGTTATTTTAAAGGGAAAATTAGCACCCTCATCTAGGAAATGTAGTTAAGGAAAATCTCATTTCAAAAAATAATTAGAGAAAATCCCTATTGTTATTAGCTTGGATAATTAATAAATGTAATCTTCCAATTGTACCCTTCCTCCTAACCCTAAATTTAACATCTTTATCTTAAGCGGTTGTTATTCTTTTCTTTTTCTTTCCTCTCTTCTTTTCTCTCTTCTCTCTACTCCATTCTCTCTTATCTCTTCTCTCGTTCTTATTCTCTCTCTCTCTCTCTCTCTCTCTCTCTCTCTCTCTCTCTCTCTCTCTCTCTCTCTCTCTCTTTTTTTTCTTCTCGATCTGCTTATTCTCTTCTCGATCAGAATTCGGCCGGCGTCGTTAAATATTGCTCCGACGAACATTGGCCGACATATTAGATGAAGAACCGTTGCAGCCATTAGAATTGGACACAACGCTTTTCCCGTTTTGGATTGAACGAGAAGGAGCCTTCCCATTTGAAATATTTGTGGCGGGTTTCCCTAGGGCGAACAACCATCCATCACTCCAACCAATTTCAGCCCCAGTTGCTTTTGTGTGGTTCGAAACCAACTAGTGTTACATGTTGCCTTGACCCTTCCTCCCATTGCATTAAAGCAATTATAGATCCACTATGATTTTTGTCTATTTTATTGATAAATAATAATCTTTTGCGACGGCGTGGGATGCAGATGTGTGGTGTGGCGATGTTGTGGTGACGATGGGGAGGCAGATCTAGGGTTTTTTTTGGTGGATCGGGCGGAGGACGGCGCGTGTAGAGAAATTCGCGCAAGCTAGAACCTTAATCGACTATGTACATATTCAATAGTCGATTAAGCTAATCGACTATGCTCTGGTAGTCGATTAAGGTTGATCAACTCCAATTTTTTTATTTTTTTTGGATTTTTTGTTTATTGATTCAATTGTATAAATCAATTATAATGTTTATATATTTTTTGTATTTTGTAAAATATAGATGATTTTGCATTTTTTTGCAGTTGTGATTTGTTATGTTTAGTAGCAGATTCGTAATCGACTATGCTTCATTATAGTCGATTAATACACCTAATATAGAAAAAAAATTGAAAAAATAATTAAAAATTAAAGAATTTCCTTAATCGACTATGAAGCATAGTTGATTAAGGCTAACTGATACAGAAAATAAAAGAAGAAAAAAAAAAATGCTAAGCGCGTGACACAGTGATGATGTGGCGGCGGGGGCAAAGGTGGAAAACATCATAGCTGAAAATGGGTGTGAGCTTTTCTCAAATAGAAAGAAATATTTTGGGCATCTCTCCATTAAAAGAAGTAATGAGGGGGTTTCGTCAAAGAGCCCCTATTTTAAATAGTGGTAATGCGGAATACATGTTTATCAGTTTATGTGTTTTAGATGAGTTTTCGTGTATTTAGATTGATTAGTGTCAGTGACATGTATTATGAATATTCAGGTGTTTAAATACTATAATTTTGAACTTTAATTATGTTGCTCTAGAAAGGGATCGTTATGCATAAATCTCTGACCAATCATCTTTATTATTTTAAAAATTCAGGGATTATATATTTTTCACCAATAAGCTCATCTAATATGTATTATAAAATTAATGTATATGATAAAATTACACATAACCCTTTACACTCAATTCTATACAAAAATCCAATTTTAACTTCTTTCTTCTGAAATTATTTTTTTGCCGCCGGCCTCCGTCGTTGACTTTTTCGATTTTTTTCTGTTTGCTTTTTCCACCGCCGGTTTTCGGCGTTGACTTGTTTTTTTTTTAATCCCCGCCGCTAAACGTTGACCGCAATTGTACTGTCATTAACAATAATTATACAGTCATTGACAGTATATTAACATAATTTTACTATCGTTGATAGTACATTAACATAATTGTACTGTCGTTGACAGTGCATTTATGGAATTGTAATGTGGTTGACAGTACAATTACAGTCATCGATAATATTATTATTTTGTTGGCTTTTTTTTGTTTGATTTGTTGACATGTCAACGTAATTATGTTACTGTCGTTGAGGTAAAATAGCGGTAAACACAATAATATTATTTATTGTCAACCACATCAATATTAATTTTTTTTGGGTTTTTTGTTTTGTTTGAGTTGTTAACGGATTGAGGTAATGATATTACTGTTTACTATTGTAATATTAATGTAAACACAATAATATTACTCTGATTGACGGTAATAGTACTGTTGTTACAGTAATATTACTGTGGATGACAGTAATATTATTGTCGTCCACATCAATATTAATTTTTTTGGCTTTTTATTATGTTCACCTTTGTTGAAGGTCAACATAATTAATATTACTATATTTACACAATAATAATGACTTTTGTTGTGTTAATATTATTGAGCTAGAGATTAATATAGCAATATTACTGTGTTAAACTGTAGTATATTTAATATTACTGTCAACCACAACAATACTGATGTTTATACGGGCCAAAAAGATGTTAAAGAAAAAAACTAAATAAATAAAAGATCGAAAAATCAGGAAGACGAAGAAAAAAAAAGTCAATGCCGGAGACCAATGGTCAACGGCGACGACGGGTGAAGTGGTACTCAAAATTGCATTTTGGGTCAAAATTGAATAATTTGTGAAATTTGGGGTCAAATTGAGGATAAATTAAATTAAAGGATGAAATTGGAGCATATTAAACTGTGAGGGGCTATTTTAATCTTTTACAAACCTCTAGACAATGTGAGGATTTTTTTTGTAAATTCTTTTTTTGTCTGAATCCGTTTGTAAATAAGTACCCCTTGATGGGCTTATTTGTAATATGCCCCAAAAAAATTACATTCATTTCTATTCAAATGACGGTCATAATAATAATTATCAGTACCGTTGTGTTAGATGCTAATTAGGGGCAAACCGTGAGACACTTAGGGCTCGTTTGATAGAATTAAGTGTAAATGTTGAATAAATATCTCAATAGTTAAAAATTGTATCTGAATGTTGAATGTTAGTCATTTGATAAATGAATACGAGTAATATCTGAATATGATATTTTCTTATTATATATTTACTGAAACTTTATTTGTTAATTAAATTTGATTAGTCAATGAATAGATACAATATTTTATTTGAAAATCATCTACATGATTATTAGAATATTAATATTTGGTGGACATTAAATAGTTATGATATTAAATTTTCTTTAATTAATTAACATAAATAAAATATAAATTTGAATCTTAAAATTTAAACAACTAATCAAAGTATGCTAAAGAGAGAAGAGTTGTTGAAATATTATATTCTTTTATAAGGTCAATTTGTCTCAAGTGCATTTAGCGTGTTTTTGAATAAAAAAGCATCATATTTGAATCTGTAAGTGGGTAAACCGTGTTATTCAGAAGTACATATCAAATACACTTAATGAGATGAGATCTAATCGAATAAGTTCGTGTGCACAATCAGAGTTCATTAAGAGGCAACCAAATAGGGTATTAGTTGGGGACTAAACTTTTGATAAAAATAATTAAAAATGTAAAAAAGTATAAAAATGAATAGATGTCGCTTAATTTTTTTGACATTAAAGTAAATGTAAAATACATACGTCAAACATATAATGATTTAAAATGTGCTATATGAGCGAAAAACTATCAACATTAGATCTTGTGGGTTTGTTTACGGTGAGATCCCAGCAACACAGCTCATATGAGATATGCCTCTCAAATTGCGCCACGTGTCCCAACAATATAATTAAATTTTTAATAATTTGTGTATTGTCTAAAACACCCTTATTACAAATATTTAATATTTAAAAACATAACTAATAAATTTTATGCGAATTGTCTCTTGTACTCCTTGTATTTTTATAGATTTTAAATCTATTTATTGCATAATTTTTAAAGTCAATTATACATTTATTCGTAAAAATCATTAAACCACTCGTCCAAAAATGAATCCTATAGAATTCAAACTTGTAACCCACCTTAAACCATACAAGAACACTTACCATTGTGAGACAACACATTATTGAAAATTACCTAACAATAAGCATATATATCACAACGCTACAGTGTATAATGATTATAAAACTTACATAAATAATGTTAAATAAATTACTAATTCTCATATAATATTCATTATTATATATATAAGAAATATCCAATATTAACAGATCTATATATAATAAATTTTAAAAATCTAAGGAAATACAGACCAACTCGTGTAATTTAAAAATAAATTTCGAAAGAATCTGAAGTTTAAATTGAATCTTAAATCGTAAGATTTAATTAAAGCGTGAGATTTGAATCAATTAAGCTCATGTGTGTTCAATTCGAAAACAATATTCGAA